GATATTACAATTGTTAATATACCAACATCAGAGTTCATACTTCAGACTAAATCTGAAGTATAGTTAAGGTATTAGTCTACACTTTAAAGACTTAATTTCAAGATTGAAGTATGGTTAAGGCTGTGTTTCTCAATCTTGGCAACTTTAAAATGTATGGACTTCAACTCCAAGAATTCCCCAGCCAGCAATGCTGTTTCAGCAATGAGAAACACTGGGTTAAAAATATTAGTTAATATTTTTATTAATTAGTCTTGACAATGGAGCTTACTGGAAGACTGGAGCAATCATTCTCTCTCAGCCTACCTCACCGGTCCGTGGCTGTAGGAAAAGACAAGAGGAGGAATATGTATGCCACCTTGAGATCCACAATTGAGACATAAATTTAAGAAGCTTGAGTTATTTATAAAAATAATAAAGACGGGGTTTGAAAAATGTAAAATAAACAACTAAGTAAACCAGAACAAAACAAACTACATTATGGCTTAATATTCTGTGTGAACCCTAATCTATGACTAAGGATATCAAGCATAACCTACAGGTGCACAGACCATTACAAATTCTACCAACACAAGCAAAATATTCAGAGTCATGCCTCATTCCCATCATCCAAAATTCAATGCTGCCTGTAAGACTGTGAATTCAAATTTTGTCATGAATCTTTTAAGGTGAGAGTAATGAGGACATTCCTGAATGCAGACAGGAGTCTGGCAACATATACACAAATTAACCCATCTAGGATAAATTGCAACCCTTGGTACCTTATCATCAGGAACACATTGTGAATCCCAGCTTCACCCACACGCATGCATTGGAGGAGAGGAGGGGAAAACAACCTTGATTTATCCAGGCTCTTTATCACATGCTAGGGGCACAGCAAATGACTCATGTTTAAAAAAAGGAGGGTAGGTTTTAAATCTTTACACACTGTTTTAAATTGTGGGAGGGGGAGGTGCAATTTCCTGTACCATCACATAGTATTCTGAAGTAGATGCATTGCTGTAATAGAAAAATGATTAAAATGTACTTTCCCTTCTGACAAAAGACTCCCTTTTTAATATAGGAAGTTTAAAAAGTCACCGACTTTGGTTGAACTGAAGATGAAATCATCTGGAAAGCAAAAGATGGGACACATTTCAAATTCTCACCAGATTAGTTTTAACTAACTTGTATGCTGAAATACGCACCGTATCTGAATTCTAGTATGGCGGCATGACATCCCCTGGGGGAGGGGAAAGAAAGAACAAGCTTTGTTCTCAATTTTAAAAAGAAAAGTCTAAAAAGATAAAGTGGGAGAAACTTCCTTGGGAGGATATGGTGAAAGATCCTATTTAAACCAAGGATTTTTCTGGAGGAGGGATGATGAATAAAGTTAATTAATACATGAGGGTCAGAGTGATGATAGGGGTCTGGATTATGTCCAGATTATGTCCATATTCTGCCATATTCCTTTCATGCTTCTAAGGGTCTCCTGTCCACCTTCCCACAAACAGTATTACTTGCAGCTGACCAATTTTCTCGCTTCTGCCTCCATCCTGATGACAAAGCTGTCCTCTTTTCAACTCAGAAAACTGCAGAATAAGCCTCTTTTCTAGCCCCCACTAGACTTTCACAACTCCTGCCTCCTCCTTCATCCCTCTTTCTCTAAAACTACCTCTCTCAACACCACCAAGATATAATCCCCCAAACTGTATTTCCTGCCTTTTGCCTGCTTCCAAGAGTTTTGTTCGCTGTCTCTGGACACCCATTATTTACTGTAAACCCCCAAATCATTTTTCCAGCCCCATACCCCTGCTTCACTTCTCTCTAATCCTCCCATGCCTGGTTTCTCCCCCCCTCTCTTTCAGCCTCTCCTTAAAATCCCCAATTTCTGCCAAACAATCTTAAATATTTCCTACCCGGCTTTCCAGCTGCAAATCTGTCTGCTGCATCCTATTTTAAATGTCCTTTTCCTCAATTTTTCATTCTTATACATCAGCAGCATTAACTCAAGTTACCCTCGGGTCTCCATTCTGACTTTTTTTCCATTCCACACCCAATTATCTCATCCTATGAATTTATGTACCATAAATCTGTATTATCCCTTTATGCTCTTCTCTGGTTACTCTACAATGTACAATTGTATCCGTAAACTATACAGGTAGTCCTCAACTTACTACATTTAATGATCATCCGAAGTTACAATGGTACTGAAAAAGGTGACTTATGACCATTTTTCACACTTACGACCTTTGCAGCATCCCCATGGTCACATGATCAAAATTTAGACACTTGGCAACTGACTCATATTTATGACAGTTGCAGTGTCTGGGGTCATGTGATCAGCTTCTGTGACCTTCTGACAACCAAGGTCAATGGGGAAGCCAGATTCAATTAACAACCAGGTTACAAACTTAACAATTGCAGTGATTCACTTAACTATAGCAAGAAAGGTAGTAAAAGAGGGCAAAACTCATTTAACAAATGTCTCACTTAGCAACAGAAATTTTGGGCTCAATTATGGTGGTTAAGTCAAGCACCACCTGTAATGCTAATTACACTGATGGTTATAATAAGTATGGTACTAATGTGCATAACCGAGCAACTTTCAGTCCCCCCCACATATCAAACTGTTTTCCTAATAACAGAAAACCTATACTTTTACCCCTTCCTGGTTTTGCCCCAAATCCCCAAATCCACACATTTCAATGTGCACTATCAACACCAAGTCGCTAAATTGTATACTGGAGGATCCCATGATCATTTTTCACCCTCCCAGCATAGATCTGCCAGCATGTCCTCTGAACAAGTATTTTACTGATTTTCAATGTTCTGATGTGAATTTTAACAGTATTAATACAGTTGACTAGATGGTTGAATTACTAAAAGCCAACCTGTAACCTTTATCAATAAATGTCATCCAATTACAGATAGCCCTTGACTTATGACCACAATTGAATCCAAAATTTCTGTTAAGTGAGACATTTGTTAGCTGAGTTTTGCCCCATTTTACCACATTTCTTCCTCAGTTGTTAAGTGAATCACTGCAATTGATCATTTAATAATCCTGGTTGTTAACTGAATCTGACTTCCCCATTGACTTTGCTTGAAAGGTCGCAGAAGGGGATTACATAATCTTGGGACACAGCAACAGTCATAAATATGAACCAGTAGTCAAGCATCTGAATTCTGAACACATTATCATGGAGATGCTACAAAGGTCATAACTATGAAAAACGGTCATATGTCAGATTTTGCAGCGCCATTGTAACTTTGGTCACTAAACAGTTTGTTATAAGTCGAGGACTATCTGTACTAACAGCTGACCAGTAACCTGTATCAATAAATGTCATTATATTATTAATAAGCGTTAGATTATCGTTATTACCCCTCCCCAAGATTCTTGTATACATACATACATACATACATACATACATTCTAACATCAAGCAAACAGGGCTAACCTTTAAACCTTCACTTCCAATTCAAGTCCTACTACAGGTAGTCCTCGATTTACGATCATAATTGATCCCAACATTTATGCTGCCAAAAGTGAGACATTTGTTAAGTGCGTTTTGCCCCATTTTACGACTTTTCTTGCTACAGTTGTTAAGTGAATCCTCGCAGTTGTTCAGTTAATATAGTATGAAAAGTATGAAATAAATAAAAGTATGAAAAATGGTCATAAGTTCCCTTTCTCCATGACGCTGCGACTTCAAACTGTCACTAATGAGCTCCGTAAATCGAGGACTCCCTGTATTTATAGTTATCAAAACCCAGTCCCCCACTAACATCCTTTGGCAGATATTCATAATAAACCCAAATTGTGCAAAGGTCATAAAGTATGAAAAATGTTCATAAGTTCCCTTTCTCCAGTGGCGCTGGCGACTCAAATCGTCGCTAAAACGAGCTGCCGTAAATCGAGGACAACCTGTATTATCAGTTATCATCCCTTTCCCCACCCGCCATCCTTTGGCAGATATTCATAATAAACCCAAATTGTGCAAGAGTCATAAAGTATGAAAAATGTTCATAAGTTCCCTTTCTCCAATGGCGCTGCGACTTCAAATCGTCGCTAAAACGAGCTGCCGTAAATCGAGGACTACCTGTATTTATCAGTTATCAGTCTTTCCCCAGCCCGCCATCCTTTGGCAATATTCATAATAAACCCAAATTGTGCAAGAGTCATAAAGTATGAAAAATGTTCATAAGTTCCCTTTCTAATGGCGCTGCGACTTCAAACGGTCACTAAAACGAGCTGCCGTAAATCGAGGACTACCTGTATTTATCAGTTATCAGTCTTTTCGCTTCCCACCATCCTTTGGCAGATATTCATAATAAACCCAAATTGTGCAAGGGTCATAAAGCATGAAAAATGTTCATAAGTTCCCTTTCTCCAATGGCGCTGCGACTTCAAACCGTCGCTAAAACGAGCTGCCGTAAATCGAGGACTCCCTGTATTTATCCGTTATCAATAACCCCAGTCCCACCCACCTACCCACCCCACCATCCTTCGGCAGGTATTCATAATAAGCCTCTGCTGACAAAAACAGCCAAATCCAGACCGTTCCCCCACCCACCCACCCCCACACACACAACCTCGACCTAGTCCCGGTCTCCTCCAGTGAACGGGAGCAAACAAACCAGGATTAGCCTCAAAGAGCCCCTTGATGATGATGATGATGATGCCTCCCCCCTCCCCCATCCCAGACGCGGTTTTGCCCTCACGCTCAGGATGATAGCAACTGGGCAAATCACGGCGGGGAAATGACCGGCCTCCTTCCCTCCCTCTCACCCCACCTAGCCGCCCACCGAGGGTTCCTGAAGAGCCTTCGGCATCCTCGGAACCCCCATGAGGGGAAAAGCAACCTCGGACCGAGAGGGCGACTAGGTGGGGCCGGAAAAGACGGTTTCCTAGGATGAAGGAGGAGGAGGAGGAGGAACCCCCCCTCCCCTGCTGGCGCGAGGAGGAGACCCCGTGGCCTCCCGCCTCAGGACCCGGAGGGCGCCCTCATTCCCGCTCACCTCCTCCTGCCGCCGAGTCCGGCGGCGCCCCCCAACCGCCCGCTTCGGGGGTGACGGCTCCGGCTCCCGCCTCGGCTCCTCCAGTGGAGCCCGTCTCGTCGGACGCCTCCAAGTCCATAGCTGGCGGAGGCCCGCGCCCGCCTCGCCTCGCCTCAGCCCGCGACTCGCCGCCGCCGCCGCCGCTTCGGCTAAGCAGAAGAAGAAGAGAGAGAGAGAGAGAGGGAGAGACCGGGCGGGAGACGACTCGGCAGCAGCGCGCAGGCGCTAACTCGGCGGCCGGACCGCGAGGTCGTAGGGCTAGAGCGCCCCGTCAAAGGAGCGGAAGAGGAGGCTGTTACTGTTCGGCCGTCCCCTCCAACGATAGGTTCCGGCTTGGTTTTGGAACGTTTAGGAAGCTTAGGCTGGGAGCGGGACGCTCTGGGAAGCTGGTGCTTTTCTATTGAGCATGTGGTGCAAAGTGGCTTGCTTTAAGGCAGAGGTCTTCAAACTTGGCAGCTTTAAGACTTGAAGGAGCCTTGGTAGTACAGTGGTTTAAAGCACCCTGTTATTAACACAGCTGCCTGCAATTACTGCAGGTTCGAATCTTACCAGGCTCAAGGTTGACTCAGCCTTCCATCCTTTCTAAGGTAGGTGAAATGAGGACCCAGTTTGTGGGGGCAATAAACTGACTTTGTATAAATATACAAAAAGTATGAAGGCTATTGCTTCAAATTAAAAAAAAAAAAAAAGACTTGTGGACTTCAACTCCCAGAATTCTCCAGCCAGCTACGAGTAGCCCTATGGTGAGATAGGGGGCAAATAAATTTCAATCAGTCAGAATAGAGAAAACCCACCTGGAGCCACAAAACCTGGGTGGGTGTGGCCAACTCCACATCACTCACTCCCATGACCCCCCCCCCCCCCCCCAGCCACGCCTACCCAGCTGGTCATTAGGGCAGAGAACTGGTTGTTAAAAAACACCAGAACCACAAAAGTTAATCCTTTTCTCTCTTTCTCTCCACCTCTCTCTGTATCTCTCTCGCTCTCGCTCTCTGTATCTCTCTCTGTATCTATGTCTCTTTCTCTCCCTCTCTCCCTCCCCCCCACTCTCTCTCTCTCTGTATCTCTCTCTCTTTCTCTCTCTTTTACTTTTTTTTTTTCCCCCCCCCCCCCCCCCCCCCCTCTCTCTCTATCGATGTCTCTTTCTCTCCCTCTCTCCCTGTATCTTGGATTTCCAAGGCCAGGCAAGGAGTGACTGGGAGGGGAGGGCTGGGGGCGGGGCCAGGCAGTGATGGGACAGGGAGCTGCAGCAGAGGGCCCAAAGAGCCGCATGCGGCTCTGGAGCCGCAGGTTGCTGACACCCGGTCTGGTCCAACCCCCTATACCAGTGATGGCTAACCTTTTTGCCATTGTGTGCCAAAAGAGGGGGGGGTGCTGCGTGTGTGCGTGCTCATACCCATAATTCAATGCCCCCTGCGCTCCCCCTGCTTTTGGTACGCGATGGCAAAAAGATTCCCGGTAGGCCCATTTTTCGCCCTCCCCAGGCTCCAGAGGCCTTCTTGGAGCCTGGGGAGGGTGAAAACGGCCTTCCCCACCACCCCCCAGAGGCCCTCAGGGGGCCAGAAATGACCCATTTCCCGACTTCCAGTGGGCCCAGAAGGCCCAAAAATCAGCTGGCTGGTGCACACATGCATGCTGGAGCTGAGCTAGGGCAACGCTCGCGTGCCTACAGATATGGCTCCACGTGCCACCTGTGGCACACGTGCCATAGGTTCGCCATCATGGCCCTATACAATTTGAGATAAGTATCTGTCCAGTCTCTTCTTGAAAACCTCCGTTAATGATCCCTATTTGATCCCTATTTGATAGATAAACTTTTTTATTTTATTTTATTTATTTTATTTGATAGATAAACTATTTGATCCCTATTTGATAGATAAACTTTGTTTAACAAATAAAATAAATACATAATAAAGTGAAATGCTACATTAAAACCACTAATAAAAGACTGTTGTGCCATGCCAAGAAAAGAACTCTTAGCCATGCATATAAATATACAGTTATTTACTGCAGAATAATTCTGAAGAATTGCCTCTTGAAAAAAGCACCTTTGGGGCAACCATGACCTAGATGATTGGGAATCTCCATAGCAGTGGTGAAATCCAAATTTTTTTACTACCGGCTTTGTGGGTGTGGCTTGATGGGCGTGGTGTGGCTTGGTGGGCGTGGCAGGGGAAGGATACTGCAAAATCTCCATTCCCACCCCACTCCAGGGGAAGGATATTGCAAAATCTCCATTCCCACCCACTCTGGAGCCAGCCAGAGGTGGTATTTGCCAATTCTCTGAACTACTCAAAATATCTGCTACCGGTTCTCCAAACTGCTCAAAATTTCCGCTACTGGTTCTCCAGAACCTGTCAGAACCTGCTGGATTTCACCCCTGCTCCATAGTCACCTTTGGGAGAATTTCCTTTAAGTTTAATTTCAATTAACATTGAAGACAATTCTATACTAGCAGTTTGAAAGTGCAAGTAGATTAATAGGTACCATTTTGGTGGGAAGGTAACAACATTCCATGAGCCTTTGGCTTTCCATGACGATGGAAAATGTCTTTGGACAACACTGAATCCCTGGGTGGACACAACTGACAGGGAAGTCTTCGCCTTTTTAATGATCAATATTGAGATATGAATAAAAGTATTACAGAACTTCCAAGGTATCTTAAATTGTTCCTTTTAGTCAGATTAAAAGCTACCACATTCCGTAACTACTACTGGAAATATTTACCGCGCCAGCTGTTTATGTATTTGAAGCTACTGCAATAGTTTCCCGTTTTACAGAAATATTAAGCTTTCCTCTGTACACCTTGAAAAGAGTGACATCTTCTGGTGGATATCGCTCTCTGTATCTTTTTATTATTATTATTATTTGTTTTTAAAGAGAGTTTTATTAGAGTTTTTAAGCTAGAAAGATAAAAGCTATGAAAAAGGAACAGTTAAAAGAAAAAAGGAAAGAAAGAGAAAGGAAAGTCAAAGCAAAAAAAAAAGGAAGGAAAAAGAAATACAAAGAAATAACTCCCAACTTTCTTTTACAGTACAACAGATATAAGTACAGGTCCTCGACTTACAACAGTTCATTTAGTGATTGTTCAAAGTTACAATGGGACAGGAGTGAAATCTACTTACCTTCCCTACCGGTTCTGAAGTGCATGTGCCGCGCACGCGTGCCCACATCACATGTGCCACGCGGACCCTCTGCACATGCTCAAACCCTTCTGCGCATGCACAGAGGGTAAAAAACAGGTTACTTCCTGGTTAAAACCAGTAAGTAACGACAACTGGGTGGGTAGGCGGAGCCTCACGCTGCCATCGCTACCGGTTCTCCAAACCACCCACCGCCATCGTTACCGGTTCAGTCGAACCGGTCCGAACCGGTAGCATTTCACCCCTGCAATGGGACTGAAAAAAGGGACCTATGACCGTTTTTCACACTTATGACAGATGCAGCATCCCTGTGGTCACACGATCAAAATTCAGATAGCAATAGCACTAACACTTAGATTTATATACCGCTTCATAGTACGTTACAGCTCTCACCAAGCGGTTTACACAGTCAACCTCTTGCCCCCAACAATCTTACTGACTGTTTTACTGACCGGGAAAAGATGGAAGGCTGAGTCAACCTTGAGCTGTGAGAATCCTCCTGTGTTTTATTTTGTCAGCTTCAAGCATTTGTTTATTTATTTATTGGGCACACATGACTCAAATCCAGTAAGACTCTGCACAGCTTGCATTTAGTTTTTGCAATAATTAAACATTATCACCAAATTTAATAGAAACAATAGTAGGAAAAATTACCACAAGCAGTAAGTAACCAAACTTAACGCAGGGTAGTGCTTTTCTAATTTTTAGAAATATTGCACAACTGTTTGCAACAGCTGTGTTTGCATAACGACATTCATAATTTACTGAATTAAGTCACTGCTATGGTTTGCACACAGCACTGACTGTGCAACTAATTTATGCAAAAACAGTGGTTAGATGTCAACCCTGAAGTAGGGGTGAAATGCTCCCGGCTCGGACCGGATCAGCCGATCTGGTAGTGATGGCGGCAGGTGGTTCAGAGAACCGGTAGCAAAAATCCCTGTCCCCCCCGGCCATGCCCACCCTGGTTACCCGCTTGCTGCTTCTTTTAAAAAATGCTTTTAAAAGGTAAAAAAAAGGCCCTGACGATCCCAGCTGAGCTGTGCGATTGTCAGAGCTTTTTTTTTTTACTTTTAAAAGCATTTTTTTTACAACCTATTCGGCTGAATTGGTTGTAAAAAAATGCTTTTAAAAGTAAAAAAAAAAAAGATTGCGCGCCACAGCTGATCACCTCGCCACGCACTATTCCACTTACCCCATGCCTCCTTTTGGCGTGCACTGCGCACACGCGCCTTGTATGTGGTGCGTGGTGCACATTGCGTATGCCCGCGCAGCGCACATGCACAGCCAGCGAACCGGTAGTGAACCAGTTCAGATTTCACCACTGCCCTGAAGTGAACATGGCTGAGGCCATCTTGGAGGCTTCTGGATTGCCGCACACAACAGAGGGAGGGGGGAAATAGTTAGATGGGGTTTTGTAGCCAAAACAGCAAAGTTTTCCTGTGGGAACCACGGTCATTCTCATAGGTAGCTGGCCCGAGGAGGAGTGAAGTAACCAAGCAACGGGCCAGCACCCGGATTGGACAACGTGACCAGTGACTTGAGGGAAAGGGGAAAGTTTTAATTAGGTGAAAGCTGTGGGAACTTTTAGAGTTGGCTTTCACCAGTTGTGCCAATATGATGTATCCAATAAAACTGTTCTTTGAGGAATTTGCCTGCCTTGGAGTTCTATTTTCGATGGGTACATTACGTGGAACCCTGACATATATATACTCTCTCACCAGGGGTGGGTTCTAAAATTTTTTACTACTGGTTCTGTGGCCGTGGCTTATTTTGTAGGCATGGTTTGATGGTCATATGACAATTCTTTAGGATTTAGCAGAGGTACTGGTCTACCAGGCTTTTAACTGCTTGCAGAGCTGTACCGGTCTACTCATTTGTTTTTCGAGTGCACTGGTCTACCACCACACTGCCTTTTAACACTGATCAGCTGTAGGGCAGCCCTTTGAAGCCCCGTGGCAAGAGTTTAAACAGTTTTTTTCCTTCTAGCCGATCAGCTGGG